TTATAGCTACCATAACATACTCATAGGCATCAGAATAAACTTCCAAGTTTTCCATCATATTTCCTCATAACTTCTCATTTTTAAATAGTAAAGCAAGTAATTTATTTCATTGTAGTAATTAAAACAAAAATAGGCATATTCCAAATTTCACAAAATGATATAATGGTAGGTAGTAGAAATTTTACTGAATAGAAATGTACTATTTTAGAATTTAACCAAATTACTATGAATTTTCTAAAAGTCTATTTTGAGACTTTAATTGTACTATAATGTTATATTTTAAGTTCAGAATTATTTTTTTAATAAATTAAAATTACGTATATTTCAAAATACCTCCTAATAAAATTTTCACGAAATCCCTAAATATTCAAAATTGATACATCTACTACATACAAAAAGTTATATGATAAAAGTTTTACAATTATAAAGTTTTCATCATTTTTTTTATTATTGAAATATTAAATAAATAAAAAAATCTAGAAAATGTCATATTTTCAAAAACTAAGATAGGTTAAATGTCACCTACCTAGATCCAAAAAAAAATTAGAATTGAGTTGGAAGCAAAAAAAATGAATCGAAGCCACCCGAAATGGGTTTTCTCTAACTAAAAACATTCTCCTTCTCTCTCTAAGTCAGCTGCCTAAAATGAATTACATTAAATGGAATAGTGGATTTAGATATTTTAATATAAAAATTTAGTCTAGCATTGTGGGCACCAAATACCACCTCGCGACACTGGCCACAGGGCAACCCTATAAAACACTGACTTAGTAAAATCATTATTAGATAACTATACTTACTTACACTCATTGCTTTATCTTCTATAGTCACCAATAAAGTTGATGCACGCTATTATCTATGAGGCTAATGCACCTTAACACCAACACCAATAATCCACCAACCTTTTCACTCTTGATTGCCACCAACATCAATAAAACTATCTCACATCATCATCAACACTAATACTGACGCTAGGTTACTTTATCACTTGCATTCTACACTAATATTAATGCACATCATCACTTACAAGGTCAATGGACATGTCATCACCAACACCGATACATGCAAACTTTTATTGCTCGTCATCTCCATTAAAATCAACACATTCCATTGCATATAAGTTGATGCATGCCTTCAGCAATAACTCCAACACTAGATAATTTTGTTGCATGTTGTAACAATTAATGTTGACACATAACATTGCCTAGAAGGTCGATGCACTCCATCGACACCAAAACTTATACTCACTAACTCTTTTGCTTGCCTTTGCCAGTAACATTATTACATGATATCATCTATAAAGACAATGTTTTCTTTCAACACCACTATTGATGCTCACTAACCTTGCCTACGATGTCACCACCAATATTGATGCACGCTGTTGTCTAAAGGAAGATGAATGACGTCGACACAAACTATGTCTCCAACATATAAATTGATATTTAGACTAAACTTCATAATATTTAGTATTATTTCTTAGAAAGAGAACTGTTAAGCATATCATGAATGTTCTCTTGAGGGAAATTAAATGTTCAACACTATTTAAATTTTCAACATAAAGTTAATTTTCTATTATTCATGTCTACTACATTTTATCAGTATATTCCCCAAATATAGAAAAGTTTATCATCAACAACATACACTAATAGAATTGTTAACTTTGATGACGCTCTGTGGTTTTTCTCTTTTTGAGAAAAATGTAGGTGTCTCTATCAATTCTTTTGTGTGTTGTATCATTATATAAAGTCAAGACTTTAAAATCTCTATTTGACATCATAATTTTTCTTAGAACATTACACCACAATAAAGCATATCTTTTTATATATTTTCAATGATTTTTTATCTTCTCTTATACTAATTTTCGCATGAAAATTCTTTAAAAAAATTTAACCCTATATATTTTATTATCCTTTCATACATTAACTTTCACATTAAATTTCTTCATAGAGTTTTGTCCCTATTTATAATAGTGATACTAAATAACACCACTCATAACCCAAAAAAGTCTTGATGCCTTAGTACCTTAGTTAGTATGGAGTAGTAGTTCATTTTAATTTCTGTTGTAATGATCATGTGTATCTTGGATGGACTGTTTTGGTTCTTGCTCCTTTTCCATGAATGGATATGGTTCCTTTAATCAGTTCAATTTTGTCCTCATCATTTTCCTAGGTGAAGGGAATTATAATCAGGTTGAAGATAACGACTTTACCAATTTTAATTTTAAGTTTTTGTTATTTTATTTTTCTAATAGAATTTTGCAGGAACCTTTTGGTGCAGTTTTGTTAGTTCTTGATTTTTTGCATGAAGAAATCGAGCTTAAAGAGTATCCTTATTTCTTCCTTTATTTTTGGGTGATGGATGCTGGCCAACTTAGAATGTTTTTTTAGGAAATTTTGTATCTGGTAACATGGAACTTGAGTTCATAGGATTTTTTTTTCTCTTACTATTGTAGCACTTATGTGTATTAGTGAGCTCAAGATCCCTTTAAAAACCTTGTACTTTTTTACCTTAATCGATACGTAGGCTCCTCCAAGGGTTTCTCCCCACAAAAAAAAAAAAAAAAAAACAATATTCAATTGCTATAAAAAATTAGGGAAAAAAAACCAACCTAGATGCAACTTTTGGCACTGAAAATTGGAACTCAATTCTACACTTTTTAGGGCCAACTTAAAATTTAGAACAAGTTCCATCTAATTTTAGGCTTCATTTGGGACATTTTTCTTATTGTTTTATAAAATAGCTTTTTAGTACAAAAATTTTAGTTCAAAAATCTTTTGTGCTAAAAAGCTTCTTTAAAAAATAACAAACTATCCCAAACAAAGCCAAAATCAAGCAAATGATACCAACTCATTTCTAAAAAAAGAGATGCCCTTATTTTTTAACACTTCCAATTACTTTATTTCACTATAAGTATTTAAATCCCAATTATGAGATTGTTTCTACATTTTCTAATAAAATTCCCATATGACATTCAATAGCAAAATATATATCACAAGTTAAGCCAATAATAAAAGAAATTTTCACTCTTAGCATAAATCATATGTAACAGTCATATAATTGAATGGAAAACTTTCACATTTGCAAACACAATATGTGCAGTATATCAACATTATAAGAAGTTTCAACAATTGATTCCACACTGCTTGACATTTTTTCCTATGGCTCTAACTGTATGGATCTATCCTCTCCAACAACAACGAGAAGATCGAAGCTGAGAGAATCAACCAGATAACGACTATCATCGGAGTTCGATTCTGCCTTCCCATAAGCTCGTTGAGGAATGGATAGAGATGAATAATCACCCAAAATGAAAAGAACAGCTTCCCAAATAGAGGTCCCCACGACTGATATCCGTTGTTTATGGCATCTGATATCCCAGCCACAACTCCAACAATGTTTATGATCAGAATGGTTGTTGGGGGAATGGGCGAAGTGGTCCCTTTGAAAGTGTAGAGTTCACCAAACTCTTCATCGTCGGAGGCCTTTGAAGTAACGGTGAAGTTTGTGTCAATTCTTGCAAGGATTTTGAGCAAGCCTTGCACGACGGCAAAGAGGTGTGCGGAAATGCCACCAATGACCTAGAACTGCTCATTTCTCCACCACTCTTCAATGTTCACTCCGCTCCATCGCAATTCTAATATCCTCGTGGTGAAAATGGAGATGAAGGGTGCAATGAAGAAGAGGCTTGCAAATGTGCTAATCTTCAACAAAAAATATTTTAGAGATAGAGCACTGAGTAAATGATAAAAAAAATCTTTAGATTTTTAAATGTATTTGTTTTTGTCTAAGACTTTTGTAGATGTTCCATATAATTCTTCAGCACATCAAATTCGAATTAATTTTAGCTCACCATCAATATTGATGTTTCTTCGGACAAAAAATTGGTGGAAGGGAGCATTCATTAAACAATATAGACTTTCAGGGTCCATCCTACAAGTTAATATTAACTACCAATAATTGATTAACTTTAAAAAAATCCAAGCTACTTCCATGCAAAACTTCATTCAAAAATCTTCCATCCAAAGAAATGACAGTTGGCATGACAAAATTAAAACAAATTTAGTTATTTGAGGTATTAAATTGAACACCTAGAAAGTCTTGGATTCAAATGGACACACCTAAAAAAGTTAAAGTACCATTTTAATCATCTATTCAATATAGATTTGTTTGAAATTAGTATAATTGCTAAAAAACTTACTGATTGCATGATGAATTTTCCAGTGAGGAGGCAGACAGCATACAGGGTACAGTAGGCAAGGAGGAGTGAGGTGAAAGGTTAAATCGTGGTGTTTATATATGAAAAGCGTTCATGCCATTTGAGATGGCCATTCTTGTAGCCATGCCAAACCGTGTTGTATCTGCTGAAGAATATTTCAACTGAACCAAGAGCCCAACATAGAACTTGGTTAAACCTATCAGAGAGATTTATAGGAGCAGACCCTTTGAATGCTAGCCTTTCTGGCATGCAGTATACAGGCCTCCATCCACGACAATGCATCTTGAAGCCTGTCAAGATATCCTTTGTGATTGAGTTGTAGATCCATCACAGCTGCAAAATTTAGCAAAAAGTTAAAATATTTATTAACTCTTTAGAAAAATTAAGAGCTATACTGCACATATCTATTTGGCTATAATTATCTTGATGTTTTTTAGAATTTTTGTGGAGAAAAATAATTTTTCATAACAAAATCTATTAGATCATGATAGTTATAAGAAAATCGATATCGATGTTTTTCAAATCAGAAAAAGTCATTAATATATTTTAAGAAAATCGATATCTATGTTTTTCAAAAGAGAAAATCGATATTTTTAAATTTTTAAAGCGCACTAACAATTTAGATGAAAGTTTTTACAGAGAGTAAAAGAGAGATAGTCCTCAAACTAATTTAATCATAGCGGAGTTAATCACAGCCGTCCATCAGGTGAAAGTGATTTACCACAAGCTGCCCGTTCTTTAAATAAGGCATCATTCTGGCTATTTCGTTCAGTCCCGCTTTTCTTCTTCTTCGTCTCTTCTCGTCTCGTTCTGCTCTCGCTCTTAAAGCTGCGGGCTGTCTCTGACGGAACGGAAGTCTTAGTAGGTTTTTCTTGATAAAGAAGATACTTTCTTTTCTGTCAAGCAATGACCGAATCTGAAGCTATTTTACCGGACGGGTTCCCAACCGGATTGCGGGTTTTCGTGGTCGACGAGGACTCCGTCGCTCTTAGGGTGCTTGAGAAAATGCTTCTCCAGTGCGGCTATGAAGGTGTGTTTTTCTTAATCAGATCTGGAGATTTTGCAGGGCTTCTCTCGGATTCTAGGGTTTTTTTGTTTCATGAATATTTTTAGGGTTTTGACAACGCCTTTTCCTTTGTTCTTTTCAGGCTCTATTTCTTCTCAGCAACATTGTTTTGAATGGTATTATGATTTCAATTCAAAATTATTTAATGGCATTTCTTAGAGAATCATATTAAGGAATACCGATGGAAATTGTTGACCTCTTTGATTGAGTATATATTGTTACGCTGCACTGAAGATTTTTTTTTTCCTTTCAGTTCTCTGTTTTGCGTTTTATGATTTACAAAATTTTTAGGATTTTTTACTTTGTAGCTTTTTTTTTCTAAGTAACATAATTCATAATCAAATTATTATTTGAAAAATGATTTAGAAGATTATATCAAGGAATAAAAAAAAATCAGAATAGATAAATTTTTAATTGTATTTTAGTCATTCTAAATGAATTGAATTGACTTATGAAGATGAAAAAAAAAATGAAATCTCTATAATTAGTTTTTCTGCTTCTATAGTTCTGTAATTTTTTCTGATGTAACTTTTCAAGATGCGTGGATGCTAGAATAATAAATAGCAACCTTGTAATTTTTTGAAATTTAAAGGGCTTTATTTGAACCAGATATAAATTATATGGTTTTATTTGCTTTCTGTTGCGTAAATTGAGAAGGAAAGGAATTATAATGTAAAGGTTTTTAGTTTGTAGTGCATATTGGCAAATATTTATAAAAATTTTATTATATATTGCTTAGTTATTATATTTTTCATATGAATTATTTTACAGTCAATATATCTGATTGTCCACTTCAAGCCTTGGAGCTATTGAGGGCAAATATAGGAAATTACGACATAGTGCTCATTGATGTTAATTTGACATGCATTTGTAATTATGTTTTTAATAAAATTGAGAAGTTGATTAGGTTATATAGAACCGATGTGTAGTTGCAAAAATTTACTTCAATACCGTATAAAAGGTGAGGGAAAGGACCATCCATTCTTCTACCATCAAAAAAAGAAATAAACAAAAAATCCAAAACTTTGTCAGATTATATCATGAGATTAATTAGGAAGTAATCCCTTTATCATTAAGAGTATTTTTTTTGGATGGTTGTGGCGACAGAAATAAACTCTAAATATGTTATGTAAATAGATTTATTGAAACGTGTTAAGCTATAAGGAATTTGTTCTCATTGCGAGAATGGCTAGATCTTGAAATAAAATTTTAAGAACAACAAGATTTTTTTATTTTTTTTTTATTTTATAAAGAATCTGTAGTATGTCCCTTCTAATTAATTTTTGTGATGTTTTTTTAAAAAAAAAAAAATAAAGCTTTTTAAAAGTTAAACCAAATGAAGTTATGGTTGAATGAATCTTTTAAATTAAAATTTATTCAAAAAATTTTCAAGTCAAATAATCCATTGAGAATCCCCATAAGTTGATACAACCCCTATCATGTTTTTTTTCTAATGGTTGACTTTTTTTTTTTTATTTTTATTTCCATTATTCATATTATGTTAACCCTTATATTTGGGAAACCACCATAATGCATATCGGGTGCTTTGGTACGCTCTGGGGTGAATCTTGGTCGAGGCTGCTCTCCTTCGCCTCTTCGTAGCCCACTATGATTTCCCTCTCACAAGCCTCCGCCTTCGACTGACACGTTCTTTCTGTCCTCCCCATCCTCCCCTTTCTCCAATGCCCATTCTACAAATCCCTCACTTCCATTCACCTTTTCCTCTTCGAAGCAGAGGATACATTTTGACTCCAAGTTCCTTCCAAAACCCATCTCCAATTTTCTCAGGCTCGGACCTCCCCATCATCCTTCAACACCTCTTCACAAGCCAAAATCATAACATCCTTGTGAAGGCAAGAGGAGGGCGTGGCATTCTTGAGATCCTCACATATAAGCATAAAACCCCACGGATGGGTCTGATTTGGTTAGTTGCTTTGGAGGCTTAGGCACGGGCTGAAAATTCTTGCCTTGCAGCTTTCAGTGGCGCTGGCAGAATTGCGTTCTACTACTGGATCTGCCGGATTATGGGCTGCGTTGGCACTTGATGATCGGATTTCGTGTGTTGGCTAAAAACAGAAGAAGGTTTGATTTACTGGCATGTATTTTACTGGAATGCTCACAAGAAATCATTGGCTTACTCGTTGGGCATTGTTTTAGTTTGGATGGAAAGGTGCATGCTTCTCAATTTCTTTTGAATGCTTATGATAGGATTTTGAATTTAATCTGTTCTAAATTTGTATGACTGGAAAGCATTGAGCAAAGGAGAGGTGTTTCATCTCTTGAGCTACTAGATTATATCATTCAATCTCAAAAAACTATAGTTATATCTTTGGAACTATAATTAGGATTTACTGTAATCTTTTAAGAGGGATTAAAACCTTGAGATTGCTTGACTTAAAATGGTTACTCTTTTAAATCGATTAAATGTTTCTCTCAATGTTTTAGGATTTAAGGCTTGTTGTGAGAGAGATGTAAAACTTGTAGATCTCGTGAAATTGTGGAATCCATGTTAACCACTCATAGATTAAATTTGGTGTAATGAATGAATATAAAATTTAGTAGAGTGTATCCGCGTACGAATGTTTAATATCAAGATGGATATATTTTATTTATTAAAGTTGTCTATGATTAGTAGGAATGGTTTATTGAAATATTAAAAGTTTTTAATGTTAAATTATAAATAGATAATTAAAGTGGTATGTATGTTAAAATCACCCATTACTAAAATTCTAGAATATTATTAATAAGTGAGTTTAATGAAGGAATCTTGCTTAACATCCCTACTTAAAATGGTATACCCAAAACTGCTTTTCTCCATTCATCGTATGAAGAACGTAGAATTTAAACCACTTCAAATTTGAAGTTATTAGAAATTTTTCCTGACAAAAATCATGTGTTTATATTATGTTTAGCAGTTTTTCAAATAGTTCTATCTCAAAGCAATTTTGTCTTAGAAATTTTGTTTACAAAAACAAGGGGAGAGTGAATCACATATATATAGGGACATATCTGTGAAAAGAATAATTAATTAATCTCATAATGTTTGTCTTGGAAAATTTAAAGTGAGATATATAAAAATTTGGATTTCTTATCATTCCCGTGTGAGGACCATTTTAAATTTTTCGAATATACAGTTCTACAAAAAGGGAGTTCTTGAGAAAAAAAAAAAAAAAAAAAAAAAAAAAAAAAAAAAAAAAAGAAAAAAAAAAACAAAAAAATGCTAATTTCTCTGCCCCATTAAGGACATGTTAAATTTATTTGATGCTATTAGTTGCACAATAAACACACTATAAAATAATGTTTTAATCAGTATATAATAAGAATAACACTTCTTCCTGAAAACTTAGATATGTATCTACAAATATGAGAGAGGGAGGAAATTAATAAAACATTCCATGCTGTGGAGAATTCAATTGGTTTTAAAAGCAAATTTGAGGATACTTCTTCTTAATGTTTTTTTTTTTTTTTTTTTTTTTTCACAAAAAACAAGAATGTTGAGGAATCGGAAGAGCTTCTTCTTTTAAAACTATTTTTTTTCCTCTGAAACTATTGGACTCAACATTATTTTTGATGGATGGTGTAATACCATCTCATTTGATTGAAGCCAAAAAGAGTTTGGAGAGAAATGGCAAAATTTTGCATCATACCATATAGTACTTCCTACGACTCATATGATTGGTTGCTTGGCAAAACATTTGAAAATCACTTTGAGTCTCATAAGGTTATTATTGATGAGATGAAGAAAAGAAGTTGGATTTCAAACCTTAAGGTACAACTATTAATTATTTGTATTGCATAAGAGAAAATTGCATGAAAGAAAGCATATAGCTGTTTAACAAAATCATGGAGGTAGTTTGCGACAAGAATAGGAAACTTAAAATTGTATGTACTTCCACTTGTGAAGCACATTAAACATGGATGAAGCGTAAGAGAAATGCAGATTATGATTTAGAAGGTGTTCGTCTGTCTATGGATATTTCCATGCATTTATCAAGATAGGGATTGTCCTGGATTAACAAGCCGGTTGAACGAAAAGGAATAGAGGGGATCCGGTAATACGCCAATCAAAGCATTTCCTCCCATAGATTTTACACATATTATATCCATCAATACAATTTCTACTTGATTCAGTTTGTTTTTTGGTAAAGCTTTGTCTTCTTTTTTTTGTGTGTCTTTTAATTTTGTATTTGTAATCATCAAAAATCTAAAATAAAATGTTGGGGGCCTTATCTTATGTTTTCCTAGTGGTTAACCTTATTTCATTTATTGTGAGAAAGAATTGATACATAGTCTCCTTTGCTACTATAGATCTTAACATAATAAGATTTATGCTTTTTTCTTATTTTACTATTTCTGCAAGAAACTATTTGGAAGGTTAAATTTGATTGCATAAAAGAACGTAGGAACAGACCTTTTCTTTTTTGGTCTTTGAAAAATAGCCTTATTTCTTGTATATAAGAGAAATTACATATTTTTATTTTATGTGTGATAGAAGGAAATAAAAGCTTTTGAGGTTAAAGTGTTTTTAGGGCATGAAAAATATATACATGAAACAGAGATAATGTTGCTACTAAAGTTTTAGAAAATATTTAATATTTAATTTTTACTACAATCTTCTTCTGCCCAACGCCTCTTTCTTCCTTACCCTAAAAATTTGCCCCCACACACAAAACACCACACCCCACAATTTCCAATGTGGATTGTGCATATTAGTTCCTAAAGATGGCAAAAGAAAAAAGTGATTTCTTGATTCAGTTATTGGGAATACTTCTCAGATTGTGACAACATGTTTTTTACTGTCATAATTGATATGAAAAATAATAAAAACTCGATAGTTTACTTAGCTATTAAAAAAATCAACTATCAGAAAGTAGCGTTGAATTATGCTGTGAGACTACAACTGGACTTATGATTCATGAATAGTTTTTTTCTTTGCTTCTTAAAAAAACTTGTCTTAGACACAATTATTAAAAATTATTTAAAAGAGCAGTGAAAATGTTTTCTCCCAAAACAAAGCTTACTATAAAACAAACATCACTAAGGAGCCCAAGGTAAGAGATTGTATAGATGGACGAGAGAACTATCTGTAGTAAATAAAAGTATGCATATAGGGACA